TCTCTCTCTCTCTCTCTCTCTCTCTCTCTCTCACTAGCTCTCGCTCTCTCTCTCTGTCTCTCCCTCTCTCTCTATCTCTCTCCTTCCCTCCCTCCCCCTATCTCTCTCTCACGCCTACAACCCTTTCCATGCGTAGCCCTCTGTTTGTGCAGGTCTCTCTATACTGAATTGCCCCTTGCTTAGTTTCCTTCCCTTTCAGTCCTCTCCCTGCCGAATACTCTTGCCAGCTAGTTGGTCTTCTCCTTGCACAGTTTGTCTTTTCTCTCTGCACTGGCCTGACCTTTCTGCGTCTTTCACCGTGTGTGTGTGTGTCTGCGTCCCCAGAGTGTCATTTCTCTGTGTTTGGCAGCCTGCGGGGCTCGGTACAAGACGCGGCCGGGCCTGTCGTACCACATCACGCACGCTCACTACGTGGCCGAGGAATCGGACGAGAGCAACCCGGTGGCCTCGCCCAAAGTGCATGTGCCCCCACCGCCCCCCGTGCCAGGGGTGCGTGCGCCCGCCGGTACGTGCCGAGGCGGAGGTCTGATAGCGCTCGGAAATGAAGTGACGGTGTTGAGTGAGTGCTATAGTGCGAGAACGCGCTGCTATACGTGTCGTGGTGTGTGGGTGAGCGTCTTACTCGTTGGCTTGCTTCGACACGTCCCGTGGGTTAGCCGCCGGCGTTGCGTCGGGACGTGTTTGCGCGAGCGGTGCCGAAAGTGGGGCATGCGGTTGCACCCCCCCTGCGCACAAGGTTTCTGTCCGGGCTACTGTGGATTCATGAGAGGTGGCGTGTGGTGCTTGGGTCTGTGTCATTTTGCAATGGTTAGTTGGATCGTTTGCTCAAATACTGCAATTTCTGGCTACAGCATTACCACATTCTCCTACATTCGACTACTGCTTCGTAATTTGCTTAATCGAGGCTATGTGGTAATCTTGTTTCTCAGAAATTCGCATTGCAGTAATTTAGCAAAACCTCCTAGGCTATATATAGCAGGGTTCTCCCCAGGATGGTGGAAGGCTTATAAATGATGGACGGATGGGAGAACATCCAGGAGGTGGTTGTACCAGTTTGAGTTATTAACGCATGTCATGAGTGGCCTCAATACACAGGTAAACTCGATCAGTTGGGAGATATATACATCAAGCTGTAAAAGCACATCATGATCGTGTTAGGATTGTCAAAAGCAAACACAGCTGTAAATTAGGGCATGCCGATTAAGCAATTAAGGCATGTCAGAGGATTCATGGGATGTCGAAAATGTCAGACCAGACGTGCATTAAGGGCCTGGGGAGAAGCCTGTATGTGGTTGCATGGCGGTTACTTTGTGGCTATTAATGTAGTTTATGTAAATGCAGGCTTTCATCAAGTATTCCTACTTTTCCTATTTTTTCTTACTTTTTTGTCTTTGCTCCTAATTTTCTCTGAAATTCCTACTTTTTCCTACTTTTTCTTAGTTTTTTCCCTAATTTTTTGTCCCAAAATACTGTAAAAGGTAATGCTCAGAGTTCATTTATCTATTCTTCGATGACGATGTGTACACTGTGTTCATATGTAAACACGAAAGAGAGGGCTTGGTGTGCAGGGTATTGGAAATAGTACTCATGCAGATTAGGATGGAGCACAAAGTGTTGTGAGTAAAGAACATGTCATATGGGACTTATGGTTCGGTGAATATTTGTAAGTATGAGTAAAAGTACTGCTGAAAGCCTGCATAAGTACCTACTTTTATGCCTAAATTTATTCAGCAAAATTCACTTCTTTTGTCGACCGTTTTCTTTTTTCTATAAATTTGAATCATACTAAATTTTCTCCCTAATTAACTCGACTAATTTTTTTCGGGTGTGACCTTAGAAAGCCCTGTAAATGTCAACTGACGTAAAGAGATGTTTGAGAGCAAACCGTTGTTTTAAAATCGGAAATCTTCCGTATATATTTATGAGTATAAATGCATAATGATTAGTGTTACTTCTAGTCTTTAGGTCAGTGCTTCATCGTTAGTTCACCTATTAACTGTTGCTACTTACCCTTAATTCACTAATATACTAAGGGATTACACACAAAACTAGCTTTGGTTAATTATAATTGCAACAGTAGGTAATTGATTGCAGTATCCGAACCTAAGGGTTTTTAAGTCCTGGTAGGTTACCTTTTTCTATGCTTTCAGAAATTCAAGCGTGTGCAACAGGCAGTAGTACTTTTAACACTTCTCAGTTAGAGTGGACCGTAAAAATCGGGGGCAGTAGCGCGTTATCTGTTTCACGAAGAGTAGCTTTGCCGTGAATTTGCAATGGATAATGTAGGCGGTATGGTTATACGCAGGAGTTTGCGCAACACAGCGGCCCGCACTCCGCCCCCCGCCCCCCCCTGCCCCAGTGCGCTGCACTGCTTGTCATTTCATGGCCATTCACGTAGTTGTTACTTTCAGGAAAGAAGGGGCAACGGACCGGCGCAGCTTAGCGAGTCTGCGACTTCTGCCTGGCGACGCCTTCCGAGAATAACAGGAAGACGCTGCTGGCAGAGGAGTTGGTTTCCTGCTCCGACTGTGGCCGTTCCGGTGGCTACTGCTCAGCAACACTGCTGAGCCGACCGGGTCGTGCGATGCGATGCGAGTGTTCGTGTCGCCCCATTGTCCGTCATTGCTTAGAGTACGAAGGATGATTGATTTTTCTGTTTTGTGTTGCATGGAATGCATTAACGACGCAGTATACAAATACAAGCGGAAGAGAAGTGGTAAAAAGGTGGAGGATGCAGGGGGAGTAGGAGAGAGAAGGACAGAGAATCGAGAATCGCACTTTGTGGCATGACACCACATAAGAGATGGAGAGAGAGAGAGAGAGAGAGAGAGAGAGAGAGAGAGAGAGAGGGTGGAAGGAGAGGAAAGGCAAGCAAGGTTACTGTTAGGTTGCCTTGTTGCCACCTTAATACTGTGTGATTATATTGCATTGCAGGTCACCCAACGTGTCGGCAGTTCAACGAAAAACTGATCATTCAGTAAAGCGATACAGATGGCAGTGGCATCGAGTGCAAATCTCTGTGGGTTGTGGCGGGCACATCTGAGAACGACGTAGGTTCAGTCTTGTATTGCTGTATCATGCAACAGTACCGCGGAGGCAGTGATATTTAATGTCTTTGTACAAATTCCAAGACGTCATAATTTTATCGTATTCTTTTACATTCATTCACGTTACTTTCTTCTACATTATTTCTTATTACATTTTTTTACATAGCATTTTTTCATGTTACATTATATGAGAAGTAGATAATAGGGAAGGAGTGTGACTTCAATAAACAAGGGAAATTCGTCATTTACTAGCCTTAAAATACCTACGATATACTACGCGTAACTCAACCAACTTGAGCTCAAATCGTACACAGTACATTCGCCTAGCATCGTGCGAAATCGTTTCCTCATATACACCCGCAATCCGGAGATACAGACTAAAACGTACGATAAGATTCTCCATTCTGTTGGCAGCAGATCGACTCCATAACCCGCCTAACTTGAAACAATAGGCAGCTACTAACGACTCTTGCTCCCTCGGCGATGCAGTGTGGCTCGCTGGGAGATTGGAGCTGGAGCTGCTGCTGATTGCGGTGGGCGTGCGTGCATGGGGGGGCATACCAGCTGTAAATAGGTCAAAGATTAGCTCGCCGAGTGTTGCGTTGATGTTCAATCTCCCAGCGAGGCACACCGCATAACCGAGGGCGCAAGAGTGCGCAAGAGTCGTTAGTAGCTGCCTATTGTTTCAAGTTAGGCGGGTTATGGAGTTGATCTGCTGCCAACAGAATGGAGAATCGTGTCGTACGTTTTAGTCTGTATCTCCGGATTGCGGGTGTATACGAGGAAAGGATTTCACACGATGCTAGGCGAATGTACTATGTACGATTTGAGCTCAAGTTGGTTGAGTTACGCGTAGTACTGTAAATCGTAGGTATTCTAAGGCTAGTAAATGACGAATTTCCCTTGTTTATTGAAGTCACACTCCTTCCCTATTAGGCCACCTTTTTTTGTTTTGTTGGTTTACAGAATTTTTTTTTGGTTGTTGACTCGGTAGGGTAAAAAAAAAAGTCGTTTTGTCAGATCAAACAAGTCAAAATACAGTGATACTGTTATACATGATATTAAAGTATTTTAAGAAAACTAAATGAAAACAAAACTTGTAATTATTTTTACTTTTATTATAAACTGTTTGTGCAAGTTTACATTTTTTTATTCATATTTCTTAGAGAAAAGGTCGGCGGGAATAAAAAAAATACAGATTTTCAATTTTTCGTTTTTTTTCGTTTTTTTGAAAATTTGAGTCGGCGGATCTGTAAACCAACAAAATAAAAAATTCTCGCCTTATCTACTTCTGATTATATTCTTTCATGTTAAATTTGTTCACGTTGTTTGCTTTTACATTACAATCTCATTACATTCTTTTGCATTACATTATTCAAAACAGCATAGTTTCACATTACATTTTTTACATTCTTTCACATAGCATTCTTCTACATTACATTCTTTCACATAACATTCTTCTACATTACTTTCTTTAACGTTACAACTTGACTTCACATTCTTTCTTATTTACATTCTACTACATAGTATATTTCTACTTTACTTTTGTGTCTTTCGCGTTTCTATTCTCATACACTGAGCTTGCATAGCTTGATTCTTGGACCTTCGACTTTGAGACAATTCGCTACCACGCAAGCTTAGCAGGCATGGGCCGGATTGATGAGTGCGTAGTAAAGACAGCGGTGTGTTTGTTCCTGCAGGATCAGCTGCTGTTCTGTGACGACTGTGATCGCGGCTACCACATGTACTGTCTCAAACCTCCACTCACCGAACCACCTGAAGGTATGTAACCTGCATCACGTGTTCCCACTCCGGGGGGGGAGAAGCCAGCCACGCGGCCTCTCATTGTTTACACTACGGTAGGG